TAGTTTTACGCTCCTTTACTTTTTGAAAAAATGTGGTTCAGGCCTTCAGTTGAAATGGTTTCTACGGATTGGATATTGAATGCAACAGAACGCATCAACGTACTCGGTGGATGCTAACTCAAATGTTGACAATAATATTTGCTGTTACAAGAGAAATAATCTTTCGGATTGACAGAATAAAAGAGGAACAACGATGTAGGCTCGTGTTTTTTACTCTTAACCGTTTATCAGATGCGTTTACAACTTTGTTTCTCAACATGCGTCCGCTGGATCGAACTGTCCGGCTAAATGTATATTACGGAGTCTTAGATCCACGTTTGTTTCTGAATACGTTTGACCGCAAACGTCTGGGAGTCACGTGACCAGACTTCAGCTGTCACGCTCGCCGTTTGTTGTACACGTTTGAACTTCCCGCAAGGCAGTTTCAGGTTGTTGAACTCCCTCGATGCCTTTTTTCTTCCTGTCTACTTACAATAAAGTTCAATAATACAATATGAATAACATAAAACGAAAAATTACATTTGTGCATTGAGACTTTGATACATTAAATGAGGAACTATAACAAAAGTGAAAAAAGGAAAAGAACGTAAGGAGTATTGTTTGTAGTGTTTTGGTGAGAGTTTCACTGTTGGCAGGTGTACCAATAAGTTTTTTATTTATTTACTTTTTTATTATTTAAAATATATTTTTTGTGAGATATTTTAACCGTAGTTTAGTCTTTTCTTTATAAACAATCCATTTGGGACACTAGAAAACCAATTTTTAGCTACATTTTATGTTTGAAATGAAGGACTTCCATCCTTTGCATAATTCAAGATGGCGGCACAAGTTTTTTTTTTTTTTCAGGTGAAAGTCGACGTCGATCAAAAAAGCTGAATGTCTCGAAACTTCTAACTTCTGAGTAGAAACTGCTGACCGCGGTTTGACGTTTTTGGTGAGCACACCAAACGTGGATCTAAAACTCTCTCTTGAATTATTTTCACCCTGACTGTCCGACCCCGACGCATGCTGCGTATGCCAGCGATAAAAGGTAAGAGATTTCATGCCCTCAAGGTAAATATTTTGCCTCTTCATTGATTATGTTGGATAGCTGGAGAATGTAATGTTGAGTAGTTAAAACTGAAGCAGAACTTGCGACGAATGCTTGGTGGGAAATGTGTCCTTCTGATAATTTTCTGAAAATTAAACCAGGATGCTAGACGGTGATTAAGCTTTAGGGTGAAAAGTAAGAATACAGTGAAGAGTGGTGTCAAGAATAATTCCTTATTTCACAAATTCTTGATTAGAAAGTTATATTTCATTGAAACATACTCTTCGTCTTCTTCCCAAGGTAAACTCTCTAGCAAGAGAATTTTGTCCGCCATCTCAGTTCTGGAATTTCACTTCCAGTAGATCATTCTTTTTTAATGAACGTCGTTTTTCTTGTAGCCGGCGATCGCTTAACGTAATGAAAGAAAGGAATTCGTTTATCAACCACTGTCACCCTGAGATTAAAATTTGCCTTCTTTTCTAGAAAGGTTTCGAGTAAGGTTCCATTTTGTTCTCAGGTAATGGACATATAGCCGTCATAAGGGGAACAATCCACCGAGAAGGCATCAGCTTGCTCGGTGGATTGCTCTTCCAATGTTGACTATGATCTTTGCTATGCAAAGGTTAATAAGCAACGTGCTCTATTGCGTACGTTTTGTGTACTTTCACTTTGGCGTCAAAGGGAGCAAGTTGAATTTCGCTGTGTGTGTTTCGCTGTGTAAAGTTGTGTACTTTTTGTGTACTTTCACTTTGGCGTCAAAGGGAGCAAGAGAATTTCGTCGCCATCTCAGGTCTGCAATTTCAGTTTTAGTAGATCGTGTGTATATTTTAAAGGGAACTTTGTTTTACTTGAGAAGTTATGTCCTTTATTTAATAAAAGAAAACGAATTCCCCCGTCATTTATCATCTCTGCCTACTGATTACAATTTTCAATATTAGAGATGAGATTGACGAGGTCCTAATCAAATAATGAAAGAAATCGAATTCTTCCATCAACCACCTTATTTAAGAACCGCTCTTGTGAATGGTATCGAGGGGTCTTCATGAAATGAGCTACACGATCCCATTTAGGAATTTTTAGGAAGGGATCATATCCTAGTTAGTTTCTTGTGTAATAAGAGATACGACAAGCCATGAATGGAATGGTTACGTCTTGGAGGAAATCACAGATCCTTTGGATGAAGAGTGAAGAACCGTACCCGTGACCAACCCTTATTTCTTTGCTCGTTTCTTCATGCACGCTGGTATTTTAGGGGTTCCAGGAGTGGGAATTTCCTTCTTGGGTGTCTTGAGGGGCGCAATGTCATCTTGCAGTTTCTTCTTCTATTTCTTTACTTTGCGTTTGAGTAAATTTTCCACAATTTCTTCTGTCATGGCACTTTCTTCAGACTCTACATCTGCCAATCAGCCGTGGGTACACTTGGAATATCTCTTAATCGTTTTGTCAATTATCTACGTTCTTGTAACTATTCTCTAGTCTGTTGATTCGCTATAGCATCCGGCACCTTTGGATTGTTTAAAATAATATGCTCTCTGGCAGCAACACGACCTGATTTGTTTAGTAAGGCACTGTCCGTAATTTGTCCTTTTTAATATTGAACGAGTTGTTGAAATTCTTCAGGCTTCACCATGAGGTATTCTTCAGCCATCTACGACGTCGCATGGTTCTTGATAATATTTTTCCAATGATGCTTCGTACGCCTTTCTCCAGTACTCGATTTTGTGTTTACTCTCACACAGCTGGCTTTTGCAAATAATAAATTCTATTTAAGTTAGATACATATGTGGACAACGCAATATACTGGTGTAAAATGATTCTTTTGTATAAGGATTATATACGTTTCAGTAAACCTCTCCTTCTTATCCAAGTGTGTACTGGAAATTATACTTTCGTAACACAAAGTGTAAGGTTAATTGTACAAGTAATTTAACATACCATATTTAACATAGAAAGAAGCTCTGAACTGGACATATTTGGTATAATATAATCTTTTATACCCAAAGAAATTACTTATGACAATGTATTTGGCAAATTGCATTATATGACATGTCGAATATATGGTGGTATAATGAGGCAGTATACACTAAGTATATGGAACGATATACTGATATATAATGCTTTAGATGGCTAAGGATATACTTGACATTCTTGTCCTTATCCTTGCGTGCAATTAAAATTATACTTGACCATACACAACGTGAAAAGTTTGTTGTACAAGTAATTTCACAAATTTAGAAAGAAGCTCTCAACAGGATACATTTGGTATGACATAAGATCTTAAAACCCATATACATTACTTTAGGCAGTATATATTTCAAACTGGCCATAATCTCCACCATTGACTGTTTTTTCTTCTGTGTATGTGTTGGTTAAACATTCCAATAACTCATGCAAATTATGGCTGTTTGGTCACTTGGTTCATTCTGTCCACTTCATTCAATTCAGCCATTTGGATTATCCTTGTTGGTTAGGTCATTGGTTTATTTAGACCATTTAGGTACCTTGTATCGGCTGGGCTATTTGTGCTATTCAAGCTGGCTGGAATATCTGAGCCAAATAGGTCATTTGGACTACTGGATGCTAATTTACATCACTTGACTCCCTTTTACCTGTTTGATCATTTGTGCCAAATAGCTCCATTATGTTGATTGGGTCATTTGCTCCAGTTTATCTCTTAAGCAAATGTATCATTTACGTCTGACAGAGTTTGAGGCATTTAAGAAGCGGGTATAATTAAACTATTTGAGAATATCCACGATTGCATGGCTATTGATAGTTAGGTATTTTTATGATTGCCTCATTTGTCTGATCACATGTACCAGAAGACAAAAATGAGTAAATACCTTGCGATAACCAAAAAAATGTATTATTGTCCTTAATACCTGGACATGTGTCTAACAATAAACAACCAATGACAATGAGTTAATACAAATTGTTGGGATATGACCAAAGCATGCAGTATGATAAGGTAATTTTAGGACGAGAAAGTCAGATGTATTCATACTTCTTTCATTAAACAACCTCAATGGACCCCTTAAATTTAAGGACCTGTAATCTGAAAATGTGCAATTAGACATTGGACTATAGAAGGGGTACCCTACACTCGCTGACTTGTCAGACCCACAAAGTGAAAACTTAAGATTTCAACCCTTTGAGCCCAATAGTCTACACCTACTGATAATGGACTGATATTTTGAAGAGAAAGTCGGAGCTAATCACTCATTGGGCTTAAATTATACTGAAACAGTCAATCATCGAGGAGCAAGGTCTTACCCTATATGTATGTGCAAAGTTTAAGACCAGGGTATCAAATGAGAAGTTCCCAAAAATAGAAAAGAATATCTTTAAACATGCAATATAATTTAACATCAAATGGAACTGCTACGATGACTTTCTCGTTACCATTTGGAGTTTTAAGATCATAGAGATCAGCCACAACACAAATGCTTTCAATCCTTGACACTGGCATGAATGCTCCGACACATTCAACTTTGAATGATGGCAAACATACTTGAATAGGCAAACCACAATAAAACTGTGAGTGTGGGTGGACTTTATGCCAATGAACACAAGCCAGCAGGTATGGGTAGTCTATAGTTTCACCACGTGGGGATCATCAAATGGTAACAGTGTGCTAAGAGAAATACTGTATGATTCCTGTGTATAAAGAAGGAAACATTTTATTCTACATTCTAAATAAGATTGTTCTTACTCGTTACACTCCAAAAAAAAGTTTGCAGACTTTTTCCGCGCCATTTCAAAAAAAAACAACCCACTCTTATAATGCAACACAGAAGGGGTGGTCTGGCCCCAAAGTGTTGGTCAGCGGTGAGTTGGTCAGGACGGACGTTACTTTACGAGCTCCGCTAATCTTAATCAAGTTTGGATAATTTTTCGTTTCGTTTTGGATAATTTTTCGTTTCTTTTTTCACGATCGTTTTTCTTTTTTTGCTTTCTGAGAGATTCAAGAATGCCCGAGTCTGTTGCTAGCCTTAAGAGAGAGAACAGTAGTACTTCATCATATCATCATATCATCTCAACCATACGAGCACAAGATGGCGGCACATGCGAAGCGGGCGCTCTGCCAAGTCTCTCTTTTACTGTTCCTATTTTTGATATTTTGTCAATTCAAGTATGACATGGCTTTTTATAAAAGCTCAACCTATATGCTGGTGAGCGCTGGTTATGATGCTAAGTACTACCCGGGCCGTAATGATGGTTTGAGAAGATCGCGTTATGCTGCTTCGGATACCACTCTTCCCGCTCTAAAAGCCTACAGAATTCTTAACATTGCTCAGTTTAGTCTGTTTGCTGCTGGTCTTATACTGTTAGCTGGAGACATCTGTCCTCAACCTGGTCCTTCTTTTCAACTAAAAAATTCTGGCTTATCGTTTGGTCCCCAAAGTAGAGGATTAGCAATGGCTCATCTTAATATTCGCAGTCTGCTACACAAGATGGATCAAGTGAACCTTATCATGGGCGGTACTAAGTCGTTTGACATATTATCATTCTCGGAGACTTGGCTTAATGATTCGGTTACTGACGACGAGATTCTTATGCCCGGCTATAGCTGTGTGAGGCGGGATCGCCAAGGAAAGGTTGGTGGAGGAGTGGCAATTTATTGCCGCGATTCTATCAATTTTACTATTCGCGAAGACCTAAATAATGCAAATGAAGCCGTGTGGATTCAAGTCAACCGAAAAAATTGTACACCTCTTGTTATTGGTTGTATCTATAGACCACCAGATCAACCGATCGACAACTTTACTGATAACTTCGGTAAATCATTGTCCAAGATCGACCCTGCGTTTGATAAAGTTGCGCTTGGTGATTTTAATATAGATTTTTCGATTAGAAGGAGAAATGCAAATTTGGCTCATAAACGATTGCTCAAGGGAATTGCTGAGCTACACGATCTCAAGCAAGTGATTGAATCTTCGACACGTGTCACGGAACACTCCGAATCTCTCATCGACTTATGCTTTACCAACGCTCAGCAAAAAATTACGGAGTCCGCTGTTTTAGATCCTGGTTTGAGCGATCATTCTTTGATTTACTGTGTCATGAAGAGCGGTCGTCACCGAGCTCCACCAAAAATGATCCAGTTTCGCTCGTATAAAAATTACGACAAAGATTCCTTTGTATCTGATCTCCGCCAAGTACCTTGGCATGTGGCTTTAAATAACCATGAAGATATTGATGACTGTATTGACACCTGGAACAAATTATTCTCAGAGGTTGCCGCAGTACATGCTCCAATAAAAACAAGCCGGGTTAGAGGCTTTTCTATTCCTTGGATAAACTCTAGCATTATAGCTCTAATGAATAAGCGAGATCACCATCTGAAAAAAGCCAAGGGGAATAAAAATAACACTCATTGGCGCCTGTACCGTGAATTGAGGAACAAGGTAACCCACAGTATCAAGAAAGCCAAATCTGATTATTACACTAACCTAATAATTAACGGCAGTAAATCAAGCTCTAAAGACTTCTGGAAAGCTTTAAAACAAACTCTACCTTCGTCTAAAACTTCCTCCAGGATTACCAGTTTGTTAGCTGATGGTGTCCTTCTCACCTCAGCTCAATCTATTGCCTCGACTCTTAATTCATATTTCGTGAACGTGGGTAAATCCCTTGCCGAAAAAATCGTTTCCGAACCGTACATAGCTAAAGCTACGGCCTGCCACTCGACTTTTACGTTTCAACCGATTAGTGAAGATTTTGTCTCAAGATCCATCAGTTCATTGAAAACCAATAAGGCCGTTGGTCTCGACAAAATTAGCGCGCGTCTTTTAAAAGATGCTGTGGACGTTATCACTCCTTCTCTTACGGCCTTATTCAATTTATCCCTTCAAACAAGAACATTTCCTTCGATATGGAAAACAGCAAAGGTTATACCCCTGTTTAAAAAGGGCGATAAATTGAATGCTTCTAATTACAGGCCAATTTCCATTCTCCCGACTGTAAGCAAGATTTTAGAGAAGGCGGTACATACTCAGTTTTATGCATATCTTACTGAGAATAATTTAATTTCACCCAACCAGTTTGGATTTAGATTGAAGTCATCTACTATTACTGCCACCATTCAGCTTTCTGATCAGATCCTTCACTCCATGGATAATGGTTGCCTGACCGGTGCGGTTTTTTTAGACCTCGCCAAAGCGTTTGACACTGTCAATCACTCAATACTGCTCCAGAAGCTCTCAACTTATGGTGTTGATGATGCTGGCAAAGCCTGGTTTACTTCATTCTTAACAAACAGAACACAAATGACTAGCTGTGATTATGCTTGCTCCAAAGCTGCCGCTGTATCGACTGGCGTTGCTCAAGGCTCTATATTGGGCCCACTTTTATTTATAATTTACATGAATGATCTACCTGATGTTTTGCAATCCTGTCAGGTTACTTTATATGCAGATGACACTGTTTTATACCTCGCTTCCAAATCTACTGTAGACTTACAAAGTAAGATTAACGATGACTTAAAACGTATATGTAGGTGGCTTCGGGCAAACCAACTGACTCTGAATGTTCAAAAATCCAAATTTTTGCTTATCGGTAGTAGTTCCCGCTTGAACAAAGTTGAGTCCATACTTATTTCGGCTGATGATACCCCTCTCGATAACGTAGATTCTTTTACTTACCTAGGCATTGTGATTAATAACCACTTCTCCTGGACTGACCACATTGATTATATTCGTAGTAAGGTCAGTAGAAAGTTAGGTCTTTTAAGGCGTATTAAATCTTGCCTCCCCCTCAACGCTAGAATTATGTTTTTCAATAGTTTCATTTTACCTATTTTTGACTATGGGGATATCATCTGGGGAGATCGCGGAAATGCGTCCTTAATGTCTGAGCTGCAAGTGTTGCAGAATAAGGCCGCTCGCCTCATTTTAGACTTACCTGTTTATTTTTCCGCAACTGAGGCCCTAAAGAGACTTGGCTGGAAACCATTACTGCGTCGTAGAAAAGAACACCATGCCATCTTTATGTACAAATTAATTAACAACCATTCATGTAATACTATTCCTGTCACATTTAATCGGGACTTTCATGGTTACAATACAAGATCGAGAAATGACGTTCGAAAATCCAGTGCCACAAGAAGATGGGGTCATTGGTCGTCAGTTAACTTTAGCGCAGATGTATGGAATGGTTTAGACATCTCACTAAGAAATGCAAACTCACTGCCTGCCTTCAAACGTGGCCTGTCTAAATTTAATTTTGAATTTTAATTTACCTTACTAGTATTACTCTTAGTTAATACTTTGTGATTAGTATTTTTAATTAGTTCTTAGATTTAGTTTTAGTTATTTGTTTTTTATTTGTAATTTATCTTTGTATTAGTATTTAATTTAAGAGGACCCTCCTGTAAACCACTTTTGTGACGCTGGCATCCTCATTAAAGATTATAGTAAACAGTAAGCTTAAAGATCAACTGTCTGTCATGGCGGATGAGATTGCTAAGATGAAGGTGATGCTGCTGGAGCAGTCAAAAAAACCTGCAGCGACTAATGACGAAGTAGAGCAAAGCTTAGAATTCATGAGTAAAGAATATGATGACTTTGAGCGATTCAGGGTCTCTGCTGGTAAAGACCTTGATCGCTTAGGTGCCATGCTTGATGAGATTGCTGTTGAAGTTAACAGAGTTTCCAGGAGCATCGATGAATTTCAAGAGTACAGTTATCAATATAATGTTAAGATTGTTGGTGTCCCTCAATTGAGTCAAGATGAATCCTCGGCTTCTACGAGTGCGCTATGTGAATGTTTATTTAAGGCAATTGGATCCGCTGTCTCAATTCATGACATTGACACAGCCCATCGAGTCCCAACGAGAAGCAATGACAATGGCGGCCCGCGGCCAATCATTTGCCGATTTATTAGACGATTGTCAAAAGATGATGTCATGAATCATAAAAGAAATGCAAGTAAAGTTGCCCCATCTGCTGTTGGTTTACCTGACGATGCCTCCCTTTCCGCTGTTAGAATTTTTGACCATTTAACGCCAAGGATGCAAAAGGTTTTATTTGAAGCTAAGAGGTTCAAGGAGCAGTTTCACTATCAGTATTGCTGGTCGAAGGGATCGCTTGTTTATCTTCGTAAAGATACCACGTCTCGAGCCATCAAGATTAAGGATATCACGGACCTGCACCGATTAACGAATGGACGTGAAGGCTAAGTATTCATGTTGATGTAGAGTTGTTTGTCTGTTTTTAGATAATAAGTATGAGTGTTAGCAAGAAACGTGTTCGTTGTACAATTAAATCTACCCTAAGCGAACTTCCATACGCGAATGTTGAAATTATTAGAGCTCATGGACAGTTTAATAACATTCTCAACAGTGACTTACCGACCAAGAAGTACTTAGACAAACTTCATAGTATTTATGATTTAGATTTGTTTCGCTTAAATACCGAATCAACATTAAATCCCGACAGAAACTTAAGCATGCAACAAATTAGATGTAAATATTTCTCACCCTATAGTTTTTCTATGTTTAAAGAGTCTTTGTTGGAATCAGATAGTCAATGTCCTTTCTCTATGCTTCATACTAACGTAAGAAGTTTGCGGAAAAACATTGATAATTTTCAAGTCCATCTTTTAGATGAACTTGACTACCAATTCAGTGTAATCGGTATTACTGAAACAAAAATTACAAATTCATCTGGGCTAGATTTCAATGCCTGCATACCAAACTATCAGTTTGAATATGTCCCAACACCTCTATCATGTGGTGGTGTTGGAATGTACATTAATAATTGTTTGAAATATAAGGTTCTGGAGAGAACATCTAAAGACGCTTTTCAGGCTTTATGGATCGAAATTGAATCCCTAAAGAGTAAAAATATCGTTTGTGGAGTGATTTATAGGCAGCATAATGATCCGGAACAATTCCTCCAATATGTTGACTTTACTTTAGAAAAACTTAGCTCCTCTGATAAAGTTGTTTATCTTATGGGCGATTTCAATATTGATCTCCTCAAATCTGAAATTTCCGATTACTCCCAAAATTTTTTGTTATCTTTACAATGTTATTCGTTCTTCCCGGTAATTGATAAACCAACTAGAGTCTACAATAATTCTGCCACACTCATTGATAATATATTTCTGAATAGATTTGATCATAAAATTTCAGGTGGAAATATCGTGTCAGACATTAGTGATCACTACTCCCAATTTTGTTTTATCCACAGTCTTATACCAAAAAATTTTACTGCTAAACATAAAATTCGCGATTATTCCAACTTCTCTGAAGAATGCTTTATTAATGATGTCTTGGATACTGATTGGGATAACTCAATGACATATGGATCTGTAGACAAATGCTTTTCTTCCTTTTACAATAAATTTAACAAGCTCATTAATAAACACGCTCCTCTCAAAATTTTATCTAGGCGCAAGGCTAAACAATTTTCCAAACCGTGGATAACTAAGGGCCTACGTAAATCTATCAAAATAAAGAATAGACTCTTTTATTCAGGAGATATCTCAAAATATAAGCTGTATAGGAATAGAATTGTTAGTCTTTCTCGTCTCAGTAAAAGATTGTATTATGAAGCTTACTTCACTACAAATCTAAGAAATGTTAAAAAAACGTGGGAGGGGATTAATGAACTATTGAACAGACAGCGTAACAGAAAAACAGTATCAGCCCTTCAACGCTCTAACAACTCTGGAGTAACACAAAATCCGTCTGAAATAACCAATATCTTTAATCAGTACTTTGCGTCTATTGGACCGCGGCTTGCACGCAATATATCACCTTCCAGGATAAATTTCCAGGACTACCTTGTCGGCACTAATCACTTTAAGTCTTTCTTTTTTTGATCCCGTCGTTCCATCGAGGTGGACTTGGAAATCCATACCCAGTAATAAAGGTGGTCTATATTCTTGCCCGGTTCATCTTCTAAAATCTGGGCGCCATATCCTTTCTCCATTCTTAGTTGCCATGATGAATAAGTCTATCTCAAGTATTTATATGAAGCATGCCAAAGTAATTCCTATCTACAAATCGGGAGACTTGATCCATGTAATTACCGCCCAATTTCCCTCCTTTCTGTCTTCAATCGATTATTTGAGAAATTGATGGCTAAACGTCTTAAATCACATTGCGAAAAGAACGGTATCTTTTTTACTTCTCAATATGGATTTAGAGACAAGTGTTCAACCCAACATGCAATTTTAGATATCTTAAGCAAAATTCAAAACCAATATTGATGCAAAGTTATTCTCTTGTGGTATTTTATTGGACCTAAAAAAGGCTTTTGATACGGTGGATCACTCAATCTTACTGCACAAATTATATCATTATGGAGTCAGAGGAATAATTAATAACTGGTTCTCTTCGTACTTGTTGAACAGGAACCAGTCGACTCAAATTGGTTCAACCGTGTCGAATATAGAAGAGATAGTTTGTGGTGTCCCTCAAGGGTCTGTACTTGGCCCCTTCTCTTTTTGATTTATGTTAACGACATTTACCGTTGCTCCCAGATTTTTGAGTTTTACCTATTTGCTGACGATACTAACTTGCTTTATTCAAACAAAGATCTTAAGGATCTTGAAAAAGTTGTTAATGATGAACTCGCAAAAGTGGGTGACTGGTTGGACGCAAACAAACTTTCTCTTAACACTAGTAAATCTAACTTTGTTATTTTCCATCCTTACCAACGCAAATTGGACTACATAGTTCACTTGAAAATTTATAATAACGATCTTAAAAAAAAAGTGTATCTCTATAACAAAAAACTTTTGTGAAATATCTAGGAATTCTGATAGATAATAACCTCTCTTGGAAGTATCATATTGATTATATCTCATCTAAAGTTAGTAAAGGAATTGGTATAATTGCCAGGTTAAGACATCTTGTCCCATTTGCCACACTTCTTAACATCTACCGCTCCTTAATTGAACCCTATATCTCTTATGGTCTTATTGCCTGGGGACAAGCTGCTAACACTCATTTAAATAAGGTTCTCATTTTACAAAAACGTGCTCTACGACTAATGTATTTTGCGGATAGCAAATCTCATAGTGCCCCGCTATTTGTTAACTCCAGAATCTTACCAATAACTATGCTCTATTCTCATTTGGTTTCCTCTTTGATGCATGACATTGATAATCACCGTGCCCCGTCTAATATTTCTATGCTCTTTATCCACTCCGAGCAGGTTCATCACCATTTCACAAGATTCTCAGCAACGGCTAATCTGTACGTTAAAGCGTCTAGAACTAACCAACTTTTATTTTCTTTTGCTAGAATAGGTGTAAGATTGTGGAATAGCATCCCAAAAGAACTTCGTATTAAAAACAGAACCCCGTTTAAGCGTGAACTTAAAAAATCGCCTGTTAAAACTTTTGGAAAATGAGGAGATGAATGTTGATATACGCTGCTCAGAAATTTGTAAATATCTCTTGATAAAGTAACTCTTCGTTTAAGTCTTGTTTCAATTGTATTATATATCTTGATAACTTTGCAATTGATTATTTAATTATTCAACGGACTTAATTTTATTTTATTTTATTTAACAATTGTATTTTTATTAATGATTATCTTTGTTTAATTGTATCGGTATGTGATCCTTAGCAGAGACAGCACTTGTTTTAGAAGGGTGGCCCGCCTAGAATAGCTTGCTAATTGCGGGTCACCTAGGACTGTGATAATATTGTATTGCTAACAAATAAAATTGAATTGAATTGAATTGAATTGTTGATAAGATGCGAATTGGTATTTTGCAACTGGGCAACAAGTAATGGTCAGCAAACGGAGGCACAATGCTCAGCAAAACAGGCTTTGCTTTGCATTTGCTTTTGTAAAATAAGACTTTTCTATTTCTGCTTTTGTGGGCGCTGGCACTTCTGGTTTTGTGGTGGGACTTTTAGTAAAGACTTCCAAGTAGTTCTCTGGAACCTGAAGTCCCTCATTAGGATTCTCTATCATTTCATCAAGGTCAGTTTTTTTCACTTAGTTATTTCAATTTACTAACTTTTATAGGTAGCTGCCTAAATTGCGTATGAAGCAAATTTTGTTTTCTTTTTCTGACTGGTAGTTGAATTTAAGGTTTGAAATTGTTGGTCTCAGTTCCTAGTGACTCAGTGACCATTTTTTTAAATTCATGATGTGTAATACTTTATGCATTGTCATACAGTACATTACAAATTGAAAATACTTTTCTAATAAAGTTTTCAAGTCAGCTTCCAGTTCACTTAAGTAGCTTAAATTAAACAAATGAGGGAGAAAAGAACTTTATTTAAAGAGTAATCATGATAAATGATAATGACGATAATAATAAGGTAGATATTAAGGCAAATGTTCAAGTATTGCCTTGAGAAATTGAATATTTTAAGTTATAATGAGTTTAGAAGGATTTTGTCGTAGAGATTAGTTCCTAAATAGACAACTGCTTGTTTCCAGAGTTATGGCACACTTAAAGTTTGCA